GTTAGCCGACGGAGCCACTTGGGGAAGGAGGGAGGAGTCCAGTGACGTTGATGTCCGCGACGTCACCGGATCGCCGACGGGACCCCCGGAAGCCGGCGGAGAGGTGAGTGTTTTCATTAGCGATCAAAATAATTTTAATCGATCAAAAAGTTTAACGATTAATCGAGAAATTAAGCTTTAATTTCCACAGCCCTAATTTTTTTGGCTACAAAACAACTTAAAACCCCCAAACAAATATATTTTCTGAAAGCAGAGGTCCTGTAGAATAAAAAAATGATAGTTGCAATGTTTTAAGTCACACGGTTTTTGCGCAAATGTTTATCAAACAAGTATTTTTTGGAAAAAATAAACTAAATTAAAATATAGTGCGCAGCAACATAATATAATGCCCATTTTTTTTGTAAAATATGATGGGGTCACGTCGGGTAAATAGATACCAAACACGTCAAGCCTTATAGCATTCGCCCGTGAAGCCGCCAAAAAATTCAATACCCAAAATTCCCCATAGGGAACACTTTAACCGTTTTTACCGCTCATTAGTTTAGTGCTAACAGTGATTGATGGACCTAGAATTATTAATCTCACTCCGACGTTGGCGGCAATATGTAACATGTATAGCGTAATTGTCATTTTCACACGTAGGTGCACCGACATGTGTATGTGCGTGCATGTGGGGGGCGGGGGACTTTTTGCATTTTTGTATTTTTCTTATATGTTACTTTCATTTTTATAATTTTTAAACACTTTTTTTTTTACACTAACTCTATTGCTAACAAGCCCCCTATGTAACAGCAGATAGGGTGTGACAGGTCCTCTTTATGGAGAAATCAGGGGTCTTTCAGACCCCTAATGTCACCTAGGGACCCCAAAGAAGCTGAGGAAGCAGAGATCTCCTTCCCCAGCTTCATCTCCTGGCTCTAAGAGCCGGAGACTGTAACAAGTGACACCGGAAGTGATGTAATACACATCACGTACGGGTCCAGTGATCGGAGGAGAGATCAGCGGAATGAAGCCGCTGACTCTCACTCCGATCCTTGCAGGGGGACCCACTGCGCCGCACCCGTGTGCCGCACAGGGACAGAAGTGCCCAGGAAAGCCGACGGCGGACGCTGCAGCAGCCGTGTTCTTGTATTAACCACTTCTGCGGGCTGCCGTCTACAGACGTATTGTGGCCCGTAAGTGGTTAATGTGTTAAAGTGCTAGCGTGAATCTTTGGGGTTGTTTTACGAACAAAGTGACAGATTTAGTTCTCAGTAATTGTGCGGTCAAATGCTGATGGGTACATTTATAAAAGTGAACACTGAGTAGATGCCATTCACACGGCACTAGCGCTCCTAGATGGCACTTACAAACACTAGCCAGCACCATCTAGGACAGGGGTGGACAAACTCTGGCCCTCCAGCTGTGGTGCAACTACAAATCCCATGAGGCATTGCCGGACTCTGACACCCAGAGGTAGGACTCCCGGAGGCAGATGCATGATGAGATTGGTAGTTTTACCACAGCTGGAGGTCTGGAGTTTGCCCACCCCTGACCTAGGGGCTTTCTAGAACTTTTATGAATGAACCCCTAACTGGGGATACACAGATACCAAGTACCATACTTGGTACAAGTCAGGGACGTGCAGTCCGGTGAGGCAGGGGGGGG